GCAAGGGTGGGGGCGCCGCTCCAAGCTTCGCGTAGCTGTATCTGAAGCCGACGCAGACGACGCCGCAGCCCAGCCCGCGCCCCGCGGCAGCTCCGCAGTGCACTCGCCGCCGCCGCTCCGCCAGCCCCGCCGCCCGCCCACCAGCCCACCGGGTCGGCCCTGCGCGAGCCTCCCACCGCCAGCCGACAGGGTCATGAGCCAGAGCGCCCCGGGGCGCCGCGGGGAAAGCCAGCGAAGATAGCGGCCTCGCGCTCCCCTGGACCTCGCCGCCTCGCCGCGCGCTCCCCGCGTCTCCAGCTCCTTCTGTCCTTTCCGTGGGCCCCGCCGCCGCCATGGCCACCCTGCTCCGCAGCAAGCTGTCCAACGTGGCCACGACCGTGTCCAACAAGTCTCAGGCCAAGGTGAGCGGCATGTTCGCCAGGATGGGTTTTCAGGCGGCCACCGACGAAGAGGCGGTGGGATTCGCACACTGCGATGACCTAGACTTTGAGCACCGCCAGGGGCTGCAGATGGACATCCTGAAAACCGAGGGCGAGCCCTGCGGGGACGAGGGCGCCGAACCGCCCGTCGAGGGAGACATCCATTACCAGCGCGGCGACGGCGCGCCCCTGCCGCCCTCGGGCTCCAAGGACCAGGCCGTGGGGGCTGGTGGCGAGTTCGGGGGCCACGACAAGCCCAAGATCACGGCGTGGGAAGCGGGCTGGAACGTGACCAACGCTATCCAGGTGAGCGCGGGATTCCCAGCTCTGCCTCCCCTCCCCCACTCAAGCACTGAGTGCCAGGCTCTATCCCCCGCCGAGTCCCCTGGCGACCTGGGCCGCAAGAAGCCCTCTAGTACCAGGGATCTCCCCTCCTCCCATCCCTCCCAGCCCCCAGGAGGAATCCACGCCCGCAGGCAGCGTGTCGCTCCCTGAGCCGCACCACGTCCGGCGGGCCCCGCCGCAGCACAGCTAGACTGAGGTTAGGTCAGAGACACCTGCCCTCAAACCCCGCAAAAGGGAGGGAAACAGAAGGAGGGTGAGCAGGGAGGGGTGAGGGAGAAAGAAAATCAGGATTGGAGGAAACGGCGTCGCGTGGGTCTCCGGAATGGATTCACAGCTCCATTTTGGGGAGGAAAGGAGAGGGAAAATTTGCTGAGTTGGGAGTCTCCTCCCTCGACACGCACGCATGTATACGCGCGCGTATATAGGCAGACATACATGCCCACAGCCATCTTCCCCGGAAGCAAACGCCGGGCACAGGTGCACACGACATGCATCTATGGATAGACCACAAGATTATCCTCGAACGTACCTTCCTGATCCCTACAATCCAACACACAGAAACACATATCTGTACATACATAAACCCACATAAACCCACAAGCACACGCATAAACCCATTTGAACATATCACACACGCACATATGCACAGACGCATGCAGACAGTAACAGGCCCGCTCTCAGTTGGACATACAGGTGGACACACGCTCCTACGGGCCGTGGACCCTCAGCTTGGGCTGGTGCACAGTCTCCCCCTCTCGCTCGAAATCCCGGCTACAACCAAAGAAAGACCAGCTTCCTTCGGGCGTGGGCCGGAAGGAAGCAGCTTCTAAATGTTCTGAAAAGCCGGCACCCTTTT